GTTTAAATAAACTTTGTTTTTTAGAATAGTTTTTGATTTACAAAATTAATGCAAGGTTAGCACAGAGTTCCCATACTCACATGCCCAGATTTCCCTACTAGTGACATCTTTCATCATGATGCATTTTTTCCACAATTAATAAACTAATTTTGACATATTATTATTAAATAATACATATCTTTTCCAGATTTCCTGAATTTGTACCGAATGTCTGTTTTGGGTTCCAAGATCCCATTCAGGGAACCACATTATAATTAGTTATCTTGTCTTTTTAGGCTCCTTTGGAGGTGGCAGTTTTGAGGAGGAATGGACAAGTGTTTAGGAGAATATCCCTTAATTGAAGTTTGTCTGATGTCTGCCTTTGATATATATTTTTTTCGTGTTTAGGTTATGAGTTTTGGGAAGGAACACCACAAAGATTAATCACCTTTTTTAATAACAACAACTTTTCAAGTGTACTACTATTAACATGCCTTATCATTGTTGACACTGAACTTGATCATTTGGTTTTGATAGCATCAAGTTCTTCACTATGAAGTTACACCCTGTTTTTTGTTTCTTTTTTTTTTCCATATTGTTCTCTTTGGAAGGATGTCACTTTGTAGAGCACACACAGAATGAGTAGGGAATTACACTTCTCTCCCAAACCCTTAACATGCAATAATCTTTTTATTGTCTTTTTAATGGCCATTTCCATAATGTAATATAACTAAAATTATAAGCTATATTGCCTTTGCATACTGGCTTCTTTCACTTAGAATATTCCCTTAAACTTAATCCATGTCTTTCATTTTATCACTGAATAATATCCATTGTATCAAAATACAATGACTTGCGTATTCATTTGTATATTGAAGATTTCTTCTAGTGATTATAAATAAAGCTGCTATAAAATTTGGCATAAAGGTTTTTTTGTGTACACATGTTTTCAAATCAGTTGCATTAATACCCAGGAGCAACATTTCCTGAATTTTATTGAAGATCATAATATCTTCCCAAATGATTCCCCAAATGTCCATACCACTGTACTTCCACCAGCAATGAGAGTTCCGGTTGTTCTATATCCTTATCAGTAATTGGTACTATGAATTATTTTGTGGGGAGGGAGGATAGGGAAGGTTTGAGTCATTCTACTGAACATATAGCAGTATCTCATTGTTTCTAACCTGCAATTTCCAGATGAAAAATATTGTTGAGAAAATTTTCCTGTTCTTATTTGCCACCTCTACATCTTCTATGATGAAGTATCTCTTCAGATCTTTTGTTCATTTTAAACTGGGTTTTTTTTTATAGGCTTATTGTTGAGTTTTAAGAGTGACTTCCATATTTTTTCTTGTTTTCTGTTTACTTTATTTATTTGTTCTAATTAGGTATATACAGCAGCAGAATGCGTATTTTGGATCAAATCCTCTATCATGCCTTTGCATATTTCTCTCAGCCTGTGACTACTCTTTTAATTTTCTTAATATTGTCCTCTCAGAGCAGAATCTCTGATTTTAATAAAGTCTGATGTATCATTTTTTTTTCTTCCATGGATTCTGATTTTGGTATTGTATCTAAAAGCTCATTTCTAAAGTGCCTATATATTATCCTACATGTTCTTCTGAAACTTTTTAGAGTTTCATGTTTTACATGTGTCCATTTTGAGTTAATTTTTGTGAAAGTTATAAATTTTGTGTCTGGATTTCCAATATTTCCAGCAAATCTGTTGAAAAAATGATGATCCTTTTACCATAGGCCTGCATTTGTTACTTTACAAAGATGAGAAGACTATATTTATATGGGTCTATTTCTATGCTCTCTATTTTGTTTCATTAATATCTGTGTCCTTTCACCAATAGCACACTGTCTGAATTATTGTAACTTCAAAATGAGCTCTGAAAACAGGTAGTATGAATCCTCCAACTTCATTCTTCTTCAAAATGTTGTGACCTATTTTAGGTCGTTGAATTTTCCTTAATCAGTGTCCACAAAATAGCTTTCTGGATATTTCACTGGGATTGTGTTGAATTGGCAGAATAATTTGGAAAGAACTGACATTTTAATAATATTCAGTTTCCCAATCCATTAACACAGAATCTATTTTTATATTGATGTTCTTTGCTTTCTTTCATCTGAGGTTTGTAGTTTTCTACACATAAATCCTGTATATACTTTATTAAATATAATCCTAAATTTTTAAATGTCTTGAGCTATTGGGAAAAATTTCAATCTCCAGATATTGGGTAATTCCTCATCTATTTTTCTGTTACTCATTCTTTGCTTAATTCCTTACTGTTCTGACCAAAAACTATGTTTTCTATTCTTTTAAATTTTTTAGATTGTTTATGACCCAGAATGTCATCTAGTTTGGTGATTGTTCCATATAAGCTTGAGCAAAATGAATATTTTTTTGCTGTTGAGTGCAGCATTCTAAAACTGTACATTTGATCTTATTGATTCTATTGTTCAAGTCAACTACATTCTTACTGAGATTATGAGTGCTCTATCACTTGAAAGAAAGATGTTAAATTTTTCAAATATAATAGTGATTGCCTCTTTCCCTTTGCTTTTCTTTCAGGTTTTTCTTCTTTCTTTGATACTCTGCTGTTAAGTGCACATGTATTAAAGATTTTTATATCTTCTAATTGACTTTTTCCCATTATGTCATGTCTGCCTTTGTCCTTGATAAATCTTCTTTTTCTGAATTCTGCTTTGTCTTCTCTGATAGTCTTTTAAGTTTCTGATTAAGTGGCATGATATTGGTAGAACTGGATTAATCTTTCATATGTAAAATCATTTTCTATTCACTGCACTGTTGTTTATTTTTTCTTTTCCATTCTTCTACCTTCTCTGATTTACTTAAGCACTTTACATGATTGCTTTGTATTTTCTCTCAATGTATTGCTTATAGTATGCTAATAAATTATTTGAGGATTTGCTTTGTTGTTTTCATTATACATTTACAACTAATCCAATTTCACCTACAAATAATTCTCAGACCACTTCTTGAGCAATATGGGTATCTTATAGCAGTATTCTCACTTTCTCCCTCCTATCATTTATGATATTGCTGTTATTAATTTCTTTTTTTTAAGTAAGCAAACTTTTATTGAAGCTTAAATTGTGATACAGAAATACATTTCAACTGATTTAAGTCAACACTAATGAAGAGAGAAATATGGCACCAAAATTTTCCCTCTTCTATCACACTAGGATAGATCCTATTCAATCTACAATTTTCATTTTTATAGGCTTTGTTCCACATAAATTTGTGCCAAGTTTTCAACATTAGAAGTCTTAAGACTATTAGGGGAAAGAAAAAAAAATTTTAAATAAAAATCAGACCTCAAAGCCAACAAACATTACCAATCCACTGATACTGCTCGAAAACAAAATCCACCCTTGAGTATAGGTTCTCACAACAGAGCAAGTCAAAACATTACGTGCTGTGCTCATTAGGAATCAAACAGATCGAGTTGATTGAAAGCTTCCTCAATGAAACATTCGATCAACAGCATGCTTGAGATATAAGTCAAAACAGTGTTCTAACCACCTGATTTCAAACCAAGCAGATTTTGTTGAGAAACACTGAAAAAATGCTTTTTGGTTATAACTATGGAAGGAACAAAGCATCACTGCATCAATCCAGAAATTATCAAGAAAATATTGAATTCAAGAAATACAAAATAGTCAATTTTGCTGTTCTCAGTTGCTTAAATACCACAGTATTTGCAAATATAGATAAAAGATCACAACTCTTGAAAGCCAGTATTACTTGTCATTTCTCACTGAATATTTTTAGAATTTTAATTTTAAAAAATCCATCCATACATTCTGCTACACATGGGAATATCTGAATAACATGTACAATTTTCATTCTGGGCAGTTATTCATTTTATCTTTGAATACCATGGAAGGAGGAAGATATTAAGGGAACAGATGAAGTCAGAACAAGTTATCAATCACATAACTTTTAAGTCTTAAGATGGAAAACCACTGATCTGCTTTGAAACAAAGTTTATAATACACTATTATAGGAAATTAGTGGCAATGACTACTAAAAGTAAAAGTTAAGGTGGATGATCCAAGCTGACAGGATTTAATGAATCCAGGACAACCTATATACTAAATCTCCCTACTTATCTACTTAGTGATAAAAATCCTTTTAGATTACTACTTAGCGAGTTAGGAAAGGCATGGTACTGTTTGAAGCTAATCTCATTTATCAAAGAGCATAGCATAACATGGGGTGTACAGTTTAGTTAGCATACCCAAATCTATAACTCTATGTCCTCCCTGCTAGTCAATATTGGAGATGCTTAAAATTCTTTTGTGAGAAATATTTAATATTGTCACTTACCTTCCAAAAGAGCCCATGCCATTAAAAAGGAGGCCAAATTAATATGCCCTTAAAAGAAAATTAAACCCGGAGATTTTCCCCACCTGGGATATAAGATTAGTATATAAACCCACAGTATAAGTTTTTTGCTTCATTTGTGGGGCTGGAGGGGAAGACACCAGGTTGAGGGAAAAAAAATCAAAAGACTACAAATGCAGAAACAATTATTAAAATAGTAAATACACAAAATGAGTAACTAGAATCATTTTAAGGACTTGTCTTGTGAAAGAAAAATTTAATTGCTGTTGCAAAAAACATCTGTATGAAGTAGAAACTGGATTCAATAACATTAGTAGAGAATATGTTCTAGAAAGTGGAGGTAATTGGATGTAAAATTCTGGCAGCAATATAATAGAACAGTCCCAGATGGTTAGGCTGAGGCCAACACCTAATGAGGACGAAAGCCTTGTCTGTGGGGAATTTTGGACGATACCTGCAGAAATATTACACTGTGCATAAAGCAAATTGAATTGTTTTCACAAGTGTTGTAAAGTTTCATACAGTAAAAGTTTTTTTCTACATGCACTTCAATTTCACAGCAAGAGTGGCATAGAATATCTAAACACAGAAGAGAGCATTCATGCAAGATATCTAACTCCTTGATATAATAATGCATACGCTTCAAAATGATTACACTATCATTATCATTACATCTAGGGCTTTCTGCAACTACAAGGTGGTGGTCATGGAAAGCATGGCCCCCAGTATCATCATCTATAAAGCAGCCACCAACTTCTATGTGTGTTTTCTTTTTGCGTTTTTTTCTTCATTTTCCTTAATCAACTCTGCTGTTGTTGCTGCTTCTTGGCAAAACTGGTAAAAACGAAATTGTAATCACTGAACATAGCACTCTGGCAATCAAGACGTTTAAAACCTTCAATCTTCTGGGGTGATGACAGCACTGTGCGACATTTAGAACTCTGATTAACAAACAAGGTGGTCACAAATTTTCCTGGCTTGAAGACTTCCACAACTTTCCTGATCAGGTCATCGTAAGAGGTCTGACTTAAGTTTGTTTCAAAGCTAACATAAGAAAATTCTGGTTCTGGAGTGATGTGAATAGTCCAATAAGTTCCATCCGATTTCATTCCATTCATTGAATACCCACAAGGATTGAACAGTGTGGCATCAATGACAGAACCTGGTATCAGGTCACAAATTCCACTCTCACGAGTGACATCCTTTGCAGTAACACCATCTTTCATGTAGAACTGGTCCATAACTGCTGGGTCAAGCTCACTCATCAAAATTTCCAGGGTTTGATCTGGCTGACTTATTACCCGACTCTCTGGGAAATCAAGAGTATACAAGTACCAACAGTCAGAATTCATACGTCCCATACAATATGCTGCTCCATTTGGGAAAATTGCATTAAGAAATTCTATTTCTTCCTGGAAATTCCGGTGTGGGTATCCTTGATGAGAAGGCTTCATGAAATTCTTACGAGAATAAAAGAAGCTTTGAATTGAGTTAAACCCACTGTAATCCCTAGCAAGCTTCAACAGGGGAACCAGTGCTTTCAGCAAGAGGGTGGTACCACATGTCTTCAAAATGAAACGTCTCTTGGAGACAAACATGCTACTCTCACTGAGTACATAAGCTTCCTGCTTGTCAGTTTTTTGTCACACTTACGATTGAACATTGCACATCCTTCAAAAGTATATCCCATTCAGATCTCGGGATAGTGCGAAGATCCCCAGATCCTTGGTTTGCCTCGGGTTGCTGCCGGGAGAACCAAACCTCCAGCAGCTTCTCGGTCCCTTCAAAAAAATGTGCAGCTTCCATCACCGTGAGACTGCGAATAACCAACAACCACAGAAAATCAACTAAATTAAATCTCTTCTCCCGCCGCTGCCGCCGCCGCCGCCGCTGCGGATTGTTTCAGCTGTTACTAAAGTTCAGGTTCCTTTTTTTTTTTTGCTATAATTTTATATTAATTTTTTTTAAAAAAGGATTAATAAAATTTTCCGACTTTGTGTGTGTGAGCGAAAGTTGAATGTGAGTCTGTTGGAAATAGAGGCAGATACAGTTCAGTCTCTTGTAGTCCGCTGCTTTCCCGTTACAGAGAGGAGAGCGAGCGCTAGCTAATCTCGCCGGCCATACTGTGTAAGCCTATTAATTCATTTATCCATGTGCTATAGAAACCTAACATTATTATTTTAATTAAACAGATTTTGATTACCAATAAAAAAATAAATATTTTATTTTACCTTCATTTAATCCTATTTTAACTTCTTCCTTGTTTTTGTATATCCAAGCTTTTGACCCCATAAAGTCTCATTCTTGCTAAAGAAATTCAAAATTCTTTGCAGGCCAGGCTTGCTGATGACAAATTCTTTATTAGAAAAGTCAAGACAGTTCAAAAAAGCCTTTATTTCTTATTTCCATTTGAAGAATAATATTTCACTGGATATAGGATTTTAAGTTGGTGGATTTTCAAAAAATATTTCACCCCACTTTCTTATTACTTTCATGGCTTGTAACAAGAAGTCCACTGTAATTTTTACCCTTTTTTCCTCTATAGATAAAATACTTTTACCCTTGATAATTGTCTGGATTTCAGAAATTTGAACACAGAGTGTCAAGGTGTGTGTGTGTGTGTGTGTTTTCATTGTTGTTGTTATTGTTGTTTAGCCTGCTTGGTGTTCTTTAAACTTCTTGGATATATGGCTTTGTGAATTTCATTAATTTCTAAGATTCTCAGCCATTACTGCTTCCAATATTTATTCTTCCTCCTCGTCCTTGTCCTCCTCCTCACCTTCTTCTCCTTCTTCTTTTTCTATTCCCGTTACATGGATGTTATACTTTTTTCAATTGTCTCACAGTTAATGCATAATCTGTTCTGTTTTTTTTTTTTCTTATCCCCATTCCTTTTTGTCCTTCTATTTTAGTTTGGGAAGTTATGTTGGCATATTTTCAAGCTCACTGATTGTTTTGTCAGCCCTTTCTAGTCTACTGTAGAAACCATTGAAAGCATCTTCATTTTCACTAGTGCATTTTTATTATTAGCATTTTAAAAACTCTTTTGAGTTTTCATCTCTCTACTTATATTACTCACCTATTCTTGTATGTTTTCTGCTTTTTCCATTAGAGTCCTTAACATATTTTTCATACTTAATTTAAAATCCCTGCTTTTTACTTAAAAAAATTTATGCAATATCTGAATTTGGTTGTGATACTTGTTCAGACTTGTTTTTCCTTACCTTTGATTATGAGCCTTATTTTTTTTTTGTTGAAACCTAGATGTGATGTGTTAGATCATAGGAACAGTGGTAAAGAGAGGCCTTTAGTATAGGATTTATATTAATCTACCCTGGAGTTAAGCTACATTTCATTCTACTAGAACTCTAAGTATCAGAGACTTCAAATTCTTCTAGCATGTTTAATTCCAACCTCATCTTTTTTAGATTATTCCCAAGAACTCTTCCTTATTATAAAGTCTACATCTTTTAACCTTCACACCTATAATACACCATTGTGTTGGGTCCAATTGACATGGTAAAGAGTGAGAGAGAAAAAGTACTCTATAATCTTATGATTAAATTTTGATCACTTAGTAGGCTTCTGTTCATGTATTTCACAAGTATTTCTTCACAAGTATTTCTTAACTCCCTCATCCTCTTGAGGTGAGACTGTAGGGGTTCTGTGTTTGGGACTGGGGTCCCTGATGACTTCATGACTGTGGCATGCTTGGTGCCTAGGAAAGTTTCTGTGCAGAGGCATAGGATGCCTAGTTGCTATGGTAATGCCCTTCATGCTAGAGTCTTATCAGCTTCGAACTTAATCTGAGGCACATAACCCCTGGTAACAAAGGAACTTGCTAGCTTGATAACTACAATGTTTTGCCAAGCTCTGGTGCTCCTGGAGCTGCCTGCCTAACAGTAACTTCAGACAATGGACCTTCTTGAGAACTGCACAAAGCTCCTAACATTGCATATTGTAACTGTGAAATGTAACTCCAGAATAAGCAACCTTACTGATACTCTAAGCAATAATGTGGTTATGGTCCTAATGACCTAATGCAACCTATTGTTATAAATAAATGTGGCCGCTTGGACAAAGAGCCACTCTGCCACCTTCCCTGCCTCTGCATCTTGTCTATCTCTTCTTTATTATTATTATTATTTACATGAGACAAGAAAGATAAGGGTTTAAAGTTGGGAAAATTTCCTAATCCCAGGTGAGATGGGTTCTGTTAAAGTCTTTCCTAAAGAGTAGGCATTTACTTTATGAATAATATTCTGGGAATACTTCGAATGGTTCATTTCCCTGTCACCTATTATAGCCATGAGACTATCTCTCTTAATCTTCACCATGAAAATTTGGTGAAGTTTCTGGAAATAAAATCCACAAATATATGACAGCCTCATTAAGATAGCATCTGCTCCAAGGAGTTTCTTAGTTTCATGCTAGTCTATACTCAGGCTCCAGCAATTCATCAAAATTACCTTTTTAGTGTTCCTGCCATTTTATGGCATCAACAACTTCTGTTCCAAATAAGAAGAACCCAGCAATGACCCTCTATATTTGCCTACTTGCAGATTTCAGGGTGGCAGTTTGCTCTGTGAACTCAATTTTCTGACAGGTCCAAGAAAAGACATTGATTTTAGCTTATTTACCATTTTTTTTCTTATTGAATGTTTTTATGTAACAACTTCCAGGCTTCTTAAATGTTGGAAATGAAACTAGAAGTCTGTCATAACATTTTTAAGAATTAAACTACTCCTTATTGGATCCATAAAGGCATTCCAGTTAATTGGCTATTGTCATCAATACAGTTAAGAAAAAACATGTTTTTAATATCATGTTATTAACACTGCCTTGTGGAATGTGTTAGTTCTCAATGTTTGTGTAAGATTTGAATTTGTCCTCACATTTAGAAATATTTACAGAATTTTGGTACTTTTTAAAAATTTATTTTTAGTTATATACAACACCAAGATATACCTACCCTGACATATCTAAAAAGCATGGAACACAACTTGCTCCAATTCAGTCCTAGGACTTCCCTCCCCTTCCCCAATAACGCCCCTCCCTCCACTACACCAATCTCTCTTCAATCCATTTACCATTTACTACTTTTTTAAAAAATTTGTGCCCTGTGAACCCACAGTGCTACATTCATGCATGCACATATGAGAAGTTCAGTCAGATTCAGGAATTTGGAATTTCTTCCTGAAGTATTAGTTATCCCAAGAAGATAAATTTCTTGCTCGTGTAAGGTTATAGCCATGGAGAATTATCCCCAATTAGTAACTAAAGAGATCTTAATGGTGGCTCACTGCTACCCAAAAAGATATCCAATGGTTAAAATAAGTTATAGACAAGTTTCATAAGGAGATTCAACAGAGTGATTCCAAATGACCTTGGTCTTCAAAATAACTGCACCTCTGTCAGTCTGGCTTCCTAATATATTCATTTATTTTTCTTTTCATTATATATTTAGATATACAATTTTATAAAGCAAAAATTACCTTTGAAATTTTTCCTGTTACTTCTATACTCTAGAAGTACAGATGCAGTTTGTAAGAACTTTTAAACTTTAATTATATGCATGTTTGCAAATATACATATATGCAGTTTATGCCCATATATATCTTCTATAGCATTTAATAATATACCTTCCATACATTACACATTCATTGTTGGTGGAGGGTATCAGGGATTGAACCTAGAGACACTTTACCACTGAGCCACATCCCCAGCCTTTTAAAAATTTCTCTTTTGAGTTAGGGCCTCACTAAGTTGCTGAGGCTGGCCTTGAACTTGCAATCCTCCTGCATCGGCCTCCTGAGCCACTGGGATTACAAGCATGTACTGTCATGCCCAATTCTATTTTATAAAGCTTAAAAAATGATCTGATCTATATAAAACATCCATAGACAATCTATTAGTCTAAGTCATTTTCTGAAAGGATGAGTCAAAATGTATTTTAGGTGACATTGTCAACCTCTGTCCTTAAGAGAGAAATTAGCTAAACAAGATAACAAATACATCCCTGTTTTTAGATAACAGGAGGCTTTTTGTTAACTAAAAATTGTTTTTGTGGAACCACCTAATGATCTGTCTTTGGTCAAAATACCCTCATAGGTTTATCAGATAGGATTTGTAATTCTTTGGCACCACTCATACAGAACAGTCCAGTAATAGGTGATAAAATGTCTTATCTCACTAATGGTTGAGTAGAGTGGCAAATTTGTCCTATATCTGTGAGTAATGTCACATAAAATTTTTTTCAAGGTTTCAAAGCAGCCACTCTCTATGACTGCTAGAGGTTACTTCCATGTAATAAATATATTTTCTTGACTTTGGAACCAAAGACTGGCACACATGCTAGGTGAGTGCTCTACCACTGGGCCATAGCCCATCCCTCCAAATCATTTCTACTATCCTCTTCTTTTATTAAACAAGCAAGCTATTAGGAATACCAGGAATTCTATCAACTTAGTGTATGTATTTTTGCCTCCACTAGTGGTAAGTGAAAACCTGTTAACAATATCTACTGCTTTGTATTGTCTGGTTTCAATCTTAGGATATGACCTAAGATTAAACAGGATTAAATGTGGATTTCTTGGCATGTTTTAATATGACTATTGGGTCATTTTAACAAATCTATTATATATTTAAGAAACATATAATTTCAAAAATAAGCCTACTTTGCTCAAGATATTGCATATTTTCAGGAAGCAGCTAATGATAGGCAAAATACAAAACTGTTCAATTTAAGATAGACCACCAGCTGGCAACTGCTGATATTGGCTATAGATGAGTAGAATTTTGACAGATTCAAAATAAAAGCAATTGTATGATATTCATCTGTGAGGATTCTGTAAATGTTAGTCAGACTAGATATTTGGCTTATTCAAATCTCCTACATATGAATGGGTAACAAGATTTATGAAGAGGT